GAAGGAAGGAAGGAAGGAAGGAAGGAAGGAAGGAAGGAAGGGAGAGAAAAGAAAGGAAGGAAGAAGGAATGAAGAGAAAGAAAAGGAGAGAAAAAAGAAAAAAGTTCTATGTGGAATTACAAAGCTCAGTAGTAGAGCACATGCTTTAAAACATATATGAAGTTCTGGGTTTTATCCTTAGTATCTCCACTTGCAGTTGCTTTCTTTATCACAGCAGTGTGGTACATATCTTTTATCACAGCACTCAAGAGGCAGAGGCATGTGGATCTGGTAGCCTGGTACCAGAGGGCAGCCTGGTCTACAAAGTGAGTTCCAGGCCAGTCAGGATTGCATAGCAAGACTCTGTCTCTAAATAAATTTCCATTTAAGATAAAATGAGTTCTTGCAGGGCTTACCTTAAACATGTCCTCTATAAAATAATGTATAAGAACAGTAATCTAGCAGGGCCAATAATTTATAAGACAAACATTACTGTCTCCAAATCAATTACAAAGCCTCCACTCAGTTCCTGTTTCTGATACCTGTGAAAATTCCAGCCTGGTGCAAACATAGTACAAAGCAACCCACTAGTCAGTCATCAAGACAAGCAGCATCTTGCTTTGATGATCATGAGCAGAGTACTCTAAGATAACGGAAGTCCATACTGAACTCATTTTAGAGCCTCCTCCTGAGCAGGTAGAAGAAAGTTTAATATGTTTACTTTATGATGAATAAGTATGAACTAGAGTGTCCATCCTTCAAGTGAGCAATGACTACCAGATACTAAGATTAAATCCTAAGAAAGTAGGTAGTTTCTAAGCCAGAATTAAGAATCCAGTGGCAGGGCTAAAGAGATGGCTTAGCTGTTAAGAGCACTGACTGCTCTTCAGAGGACCCAGGTTCCCAGCACCCACATGGCAGCTCACAACTGTCTATAACTCCAAGATCTGACACCCTCACACAGACACACATGCAGGCTAAACACCAATGTGCATAAAATAAAATAAATACATTAATCAAAAGAGAGAGGTAGAGAGAATCCAGTGGCAAATAAGTCTCTCTGTTTGGAAAACCAAAGGGAAAAGAGCAGTGTAAGAAAATACTTACATGTAAATCCCAAATCCTAACTTCCCCGTCCAGACAGCCAGAAGCAATGAGGCCTGAGATGGTGGGATGAAAAGTGACACACCATGGAGTACGGCGGTGTCCAATCAGAGAGTGAACACACTTGCCAGTCTTAACCTCTGTGATATAGATGTTATGGTTCACATGTGTAGATGCCAAGAGAGTCCTGGGAAATCAAAATTTAGGGATAATTAAAAAACACGTAGAAGCAAAACAAATTTTACCAGCATTAGCCAACAAAAACTGAGACTATTCCCTATCTACGAATGAAAGAAATTAAGATATGTCTGACAGGAAGTTTATCTACACACAACAAAATTTTCTGATTTTTAAAGCCTTTTAGTTTCCCTACACTGCCCTCAAATGACACATATTGCCTTCAGAAAGTAATTTGTTCATATCAAAAAACCCACCATGCCACTGCTGGCCTTTATCAGTCAAGCAAAGAAATGTTATTGAAAACCTAGATGAGTTTTGAACCTTGACTTTCACCATTTTCTTTACAATTCTTATTATTCTTCTGGTTGGCATTATCTGCCTACTTTCTTTCCATTTCTAATATTTTATGCACACACACACACCATACAGAACTTCATATATTCATTCAGTGCTTCAGAGAATCTCTAGGGATTAGCCTGAACGATCAAGCTAAGCCAAGAGTACAGGAAAGCCATGTCATCACAAATCTTAAGCTACAGCTAAGTATTAGGTACCTGTCTGGGCTGAAGGCCAGTAAGAAGGTCGAGCGTGGACTATCGGGAAGTTCTACTCTCTGAGAGAGAATAAATAAACAAATAAACAGACAAATAAATATGCACACATATATATACTTAAGCAAGACTTATAAAGTAGGGCTTACTCTGACTCTAAGGCACAGAAGCCATTCTAGATTAGTATCACAATACACACTTAAAAATCTGAAGACAATGATCAAGTTATAAATTAAGAAAAATCTAAATTAAAAAAAAAAAACATTTAAAGTCTTATTTAAAGTCATATTATAAGACAATTTACCAAACTAGTTATATAAAGTCTCACAGAGAAGATAAATTACATCCCCACTCTCCACCATTAATCTGCTCCAAGGTGACACTTCACTGTCATCCCCACAAATCCTACGTCAAAACCCTGTTTTCTTACCTTGCCCTCCCACTTCATCCATCGAGTCTTATCTTCCACCAGCTCCTGCAGAAGCCGCTGAGCACCCATGGCACGAGTGCCCCGCTCTCGGCCCCAGAGGATCCGTACAGCATTCTTTTCTGGGACAACCTTCATGGTGCTCAGGAGCCACTTTCGCACCAGGGACCAGAACTGAAGGAGCAAGTAATAGCTCCACACAAAGAAGTGGCTAAAATGAGGCCATTCAGGTCCTTGTCAGCTGTCCTCATGGAAATCTAAGGAATGAAGAATAATGCCAAATAATGCCTATTCTGCACCCAAGAGGTTTCCATTATAAATACAATTCTAGCTCAAAAGAGAAAGTGTTCTTTTCTTGTTTTACTATAGTTTCCCAAAAAAGGTACTTCTTCCAAAATTTTTCTTTCAAAAATCTTTTATCTTGTCATATTCCTTCTATAACTCTACTCATGAAAAACTGGACAATTATTCAGTTTTCATTCTTTCATAAGGCAGAAAAAAACTTTGCTCTTAATAAAAATGCCTTTACAATTTTTCCTTGAAAACAAAATGTGGAGCTATGGGTATAGCCTCCTGGTACAGACCCTGGGCTCAATCCCTAGCACACACACACACACAAAATAAACAGCTGAGGAGATGGCTCAGTGGGTAAAGAGCTTCCCGCCCAACCTTGAGTTCAGACCCCTAGAGCCCATATAAAAAACCCATGTAAAAGGTACTGTAGTATATACTATCTGTATCCTGTCACTGGGAAGTGGAGACAAGTAGATTACTGGAATTCACTGGCTGCCTAGCCGAGTAAAACCAGTATGTTTCAGATTCAGTGAGAATCTCTGTCTCAAAAAATGAGGTGAAGAACAATTGAAGAAGATACCTAGCAACCACCTCTGGCTTCCACACTTATACACTGAGGTGGATTGAATGAGAATGGGCCCCACAAGCTCATGTATTTGAATGCATGGTCCCTAGACAGTGAAACTATTTTGGGAAGGATTAGAAGCTGTGGGCTTGTTGAGGAAGATGTGAAGATGTGTCACTCACTAAAACCTGAGTTTTCAAAAGTCAATTGAAGACCCAAGTGTGTGCATGCGCACTCGCTCTTGCTCGCGCTTTCTCTCTCTCTCTCTCTCTCTCTCTCTCTCTCTCTGCTTCATGCTTGTCAATTACATGTAAATTTTCAGCTACTGCTTCAACATCATGCCTGACTGTCTGGTGCTATGCTCTCCACCATGATGGTCATGGACTCACCCTCTAAAACTGAAAAAAGCCCTTAGCTTTTATAAGTTGCCTTGGTCATGGTGTCTCTTCACCGCAATAGAAAAGCGACTACACAAGCATGAACATGTACAGATACATATACCACCACACACAAAAAATAAGCCTAACTAGACTGGGATGTAGCTCAGAGTTAGATCTTCTGTTTAGCATGCTTAAGACCCTGCATCCAATTTCTAGCACTCCAAAAAGTATCAGTAGTATTTTTAAATACTTTGAAAAGTCAGGACACAGTGGCTTAGACAAAAATTACACAGAAGGGTTGTAACTGGGATGGGGGGGCTGGTGTGTGACTCAAGAGTAGGACACTTGCCTAGCATTTCTAAGGCCCTTGGTTTTGTCCTTAGCAGTGAAAAGAAAGAGTGAAAGCACGGAGGAAAGGAAGGCGATAGATTAAAAAATACAATGGTTGTTTTCGAATGGTAGCTTAAGGTAACTTTTTTTTAAGACAAAATTCATATAGCACAGGCTGCCCTCAAACTGTAGCTTGAACTTCTGACCCTCCTACCTCCACCTTCCTAGGGCTGAGATTACAAATCTGTCTGCACACCCAGTTTGTGTGGTGCTGGGGACTGAATCCAGGGCTTCATCCATGCTAGGCAAGCATTCTACCAAACCAAGTTAGAGGCCCAGCTCTGTGACTTGATAATTTTAACAGGTGGTTTTCGACTTCAGTGTTAAGGACAGGGTTTAACTAGCCCACACTGGCTTCAAACTCTTGTTCCTAGTGTCTCTGCCTCCAAATATTGGGGTTTTGGATATAAGGCACTATGCATGGCTTCTTCCAGCTTTTTAAATTCAAAAGTAGAAAGTAACTGTCAGAGTGGGCCATGGCTATACACATCTATAACCATAGCACTTGTAAGGCCAAGACAAGAAGACTGAGGCTTTCAAGCCATCCCAGGCTACCGAACAAGTTCTAAGACATCCTAAGCTGCAGAACAAAAAATGAAAGGAGAGGAAGCTGGCAAGATGGCTCAGTGGATAAAGGGACTTGCCACAGAGACCTGAGTTTGATCCCCATAACCATAAAGACAGAAGGAAAGAATCAACACCACAAAGTTATTCTTTGACTTCCATACATATACATGTACAAAATAAAATATTTTTTTTGTTTTTTTGCTTTTTGTTTGTTTTTTCAAATAAAATCTTTTAATTAAAATAAAACAAGGGGACAGTAACTGAGAGTCAAACAATAACTGTCTCCTTCCCTTTCTCAAAAGGCTGCAATCTACAAAGCACATAACCAGACGCAGCCAAATACAAACATAGGGAAAAGTATTTATAGCTTGTGCTAAAGGAGCTCTCTCCCTGGAGCATTAACATGGATAAGGTCAGAAAGACTTCACAGTATTGCAGGCCCCAAGTTCCCAGGCCCACACTGTAGGTTCCCTAAAGAGTGCTCAAACACAAGCGTTGCTTCGTTTGGACATTGGGGCTTGAACTCAGGACCCTGAGTTTGCTTGGCAAGTACTGTACCACCATGACACACACCCAGCTTCTGATCACCAACTCTTAAACCACAGAAATATGTACACAGGAAGAATGTCAAGCAGGAAAACCTCCAGAGTAGGCTGCCGCTTAGTAACAGAAGGGAATAATCTTTGTAGTGATTTGTACAACTCAGAAACAAAATTTTAGGTGTGAACCTGCTCCAGGATTCCCTTTATTCAAACTAACAAATAGCTCAAGTATTTCCTACCTTTTACTACTAATCCAGAAGGAACGAGAGAAACAGTTACTGTGAGCTCACCTTGTACTAAACTAGTTCACTCTGTACTAAAACTGTAATTCTTTTATCTAATAGAGAGACCTTCAAAAAAAAAAACTGTGAAAATCCTTTGACCTAACAAGACACCATAAAGTACATTTAAAACATTACAATCTCACAATAAATGGTAGAAACCACAGCAGCAGTCCTGGGGGGGGGGGGCATACCAAGCCAAAGGACAACCTGCAGGAGTCCGTTCTCTCTTCCCACCATGTGGGTTCCAGGATTGAACTTAAAGTCATTAGGCAGTAAGCACCTTTACCCCTTGAGCAACTTCACTGGTCTAGCCCCATTCTTTAAAAAAAATAAAATAAAAATAAAACTTCATTTCTGGCCTTCTGTAACTCAAAAGGAAAAACAAAGTACAGTTTACAAATGTTATATCATTCAAGGAACTGTGATATAACCTTTAGTTCCTACAAGAATAAAAAAAAAAAAAAGAAAAAAAGAAAAAGAAAGTTTCTACAAATACATCATCAAGACAACTAAAAAAACTAAACATCAAGATTATCAAAAAGACCAGGCAGCGGTGGTGCACACCTTCAAACCCAGCACTCAGGAGGCAGAAACAGGTGGATCTCTGAATTCCAGGACAGCTTGGTTTATAGGACAGCCAGGGCTACAAAGAAAAATCCTATCTCAAAAACAAAATAAAACAAAAAACAAATTACCAAAAAGCATGTCTGTCAATTTCCAGGGACCTAAACTCAGGAGTTCAAGCCAGTAAAAATCTGACTGACTGACTGGTGGGCAAACTTAGAGGCACCAAAACAACTGCATCTCTCTCTCTCTCTCTCTCTCTCTCTCTCTCTCTCTCTTTTTTCCCTCCTGGGGAAATATATTTACTATTGCTTAAAAGAAAATGGATCTTCTGTTGGTTTGTGTTGGGCTTCAGACCCAGGAGGGACAAGCAGTTGAGGTGTCTTTTGAACCAAAGCAGACCTGACCACCAGGTTCTCCCAGCATCCCCCAATCCCTACCTTGATCTCTACCTGCACATACTCCACCCTCTACCCTGAACTCTCCAGCCCAGAAGCATGGGGCTGGGTGTGGGGGAAGCCTTCCCCTCCCCAGAGGCTCTTCACTATATAATCCAGACATTTCGTTTTCTTCCTCTCTCCTCTCTCTCTGCTGCATACTTTCTCTTCCCTGGATTTTCTGTCTCCCCCTGCATGGAGGCTACCCTGGCCCTTGAGACAGGTGAACCCACCACAGCTGCTCCCAATAAACATGCGTTTCAATTCTTGAATTAGCTTGCCTTGAATTAGCTCATTTCATCAGCAGAGATAACTTATCACTAATATGTAATTATATTTAACTACTCTATACAGAAATCATCTAAAGTATGCCAAAACGCACTAAGAACTAAGAGTTATGGTTCTTCTTGCACTCTGATCATCAATGCTAACAATTTTGTTCCACTCCCTAGAGTTAAGGTTTTGGGTGCCTGGGGGGCAGGAGGTACCAGCTCTCATGAAGCAGAGGCAGGTGGATCTCTGTGAATTTGAGGCCAGCCTGGTCTATAGAGAGGGTTCCAAGAAAGCCAGGGATAAAAGAAAGAAACCCTGTCTCAAACAAACAAGAGATCAACCTAGCTGACATATCTAATTTTAAACCAGCCAGAGTTACACAATGAGATCCTGTTTCAAACCAACCAACACAGAGAAGAAAGAAGAAGAAGGAGGAGAAGGAGGAGGGGGGGGGTAAGTCCCTCACTCCTTTGAGACTCAGGGTCCTCCTTTT